CGCCCCCCCCCCCCTGGCTACGGGACTGGATTCTATGTAATCAGGTGATACTATACTTATCAGGTGATACTTATCAGGTGATACTATACAGCTTTTTAGCTGATGTCTAAAAATTTAATTGAATCGTCTACGTATCGTTTCATTCTTTGTCATATGTTTCTCTGCAGACGATCGAATATGGAAATATTCGGTCGTTTCCCTCCCCCCTTTTTTTTTATTATAAAACTCTTAATTTATATAAAGAGGTGAATCTGTTTATTGAAATTTAAGAAATGCCCTTATTTATACGCGTTTTTAGATAGCTTATTGCATGTAAAATAATGTTGCAAAAAAGATAATGAAATTAGAAGTTCTAAAGTAGTTTCTATAACAAAATATAAATTTGTGCTAAGATTCAGCATATGCGAACTTTTAAATTCCTTTCGTGTTTTACAATATCAATAATAGCTTCTCATTGGTACCTCAAAAATTGTTCATTTGGTTGTCGTTTTGATTTCATGAGATTATATATGATTGTATTCTCTATAATGTAGCGGAGACTATTAAAAGGGATAGAGAAATTTATTTCACGTAGCATCTTCCGTGCTTACTTACGTAAGTCATGCGCAAGCTAAATAGAGGACTAAGATTGTTTTGTAGTATCTGCGCTGTATAGATTTTACGCGTATAGAATGCTGCGTAGAAGTTGAAAATCTCTTAATTTTGCACTTTCGCGTCTGCTCGTACGTGGGTTCTACGCAAGCATTGTTGAAAATCGAGAGTGTTATGTTGCAATTGCGTTAGCGAAAACCTTGACGGGATAATATTTTAAAGTAAAATATCCATCTGTTATAACTTTATTAAACATCAATATCCCACGCTATATTATTCAACGTTATATTATTCGCTTTTTTTAAAAAATTAAATTATGAATTTTGTAAAAGGTTCAAAAGTACATGTTTTAAACGAAGATAAAATGAAATAAGAAAGCTTGCAAAATAATGCCTAAAGAAAAAGGTTATATTAGCAACATGTTAACTACTTGACTACATTTTAATAGTACAACTGTGGCTGGTTTACCGTAATTAATCTATTGTAATTTCTTTGTCAAGATAACTTGTATTTGATATTTATAACAATTTTCAAAAATTTCCTTCTCAATTTTGGATTTTAGGTTAAATTTATAATTTCCGTTTTCTTGATGCTTTACAAGTTTTTGATAGAGTGTGATTCAACTGAACACTATACCTTTCTGAAAATATTGAAAATGAAGCTTTATTAGATTAAGAGTTAGAAATAGTTTTTCTTCTTTTTTTTTTTCTCAAAAATGTTGTATAATAATATTATGAAATTCGTGGTTTTCATTAAGTAATTTAAAACTATATATTTGCCCGTTTTTAGACTTTTAAAATGTAAGTTTTACGGATTTGAATAATGGTAAGAAGAAGTTTTTAAATGTGGATTATACAAAAATAAATACAATTTTCGGAAATCTAAAAATTGGAAAATCCTAGATTTAATTAAATCAAAAAGTGAATGCAGAAATTGTATTTGTTTAATTTGTTTTTAAGAAAGCGAATAGTTAATCTAAACCATCTTACACTTTAAATCTTAAATGGCGATTAGATGGCGCCCTTGTATTTTACATGTAATAGAAGATACTGCTAAATAGAATAAGTGTTCACCATCAGTTAATTCGAATAAATTAAAAAAAAAAGGACTAAAAACTAATTTAGAATTTTCCCACCCTGTCTACAATCTTTTGACAGTTGAGCTTGATCAGCTGGAAAAAGGCTTCTGAGGTAATGAAAAAAAATTTTTTTTTCAAGTCTTTCTTTAGCATCTTAAGAAATTCTGAACAATAATGATTCTTTTAACTATGTTTTTTCACAACTTGCTGTGGAAAAAAAGAAAACTACTATCCGACTTTTTCTTTTAACTCAAAATGTCTATATCTTGAATTCTTGAAAATAAAAAGGGAAACATATTTACGAGGTATTTTTCTGTAAAAGACTTTCTTTTTTCTTTTTTGTTTAGATCTCGAATTTTTCGGGGCGTGAAGGCGGAGATTGCTTGTAGAAGTGTTGACGTCATTTTCATGAACATGGAATGGTTGCTATGGTGACAGTGATACAGAGAAGAGCGCCCTCTCATGGGAAGTAGAAGACATAAAAGCTTTCTGCTGTAAAGATAGTTTCTTTTTTGAATAAGAAAAAAACTTTTATTTGATTTCTTCCCTAGTTCGTAACCCCTAAGGTGGTTGCATGCTAAAGAATGCGATGCTTTTAGAAATTTTCCATCAGCTATTGAATTAGTTTGATCATTTGTAGAAGTTAGAAAGATTTTTGAAAATTAAACATGTTAAAAATACTTGAAATATTTTTATGTTTTGTTTTTATATTATGCATATAGATTGTGAATGTATATGTTTATAGAATTAGTAAATTATTATAAATAGAATTAAGAAATGTCCAAAAAAAAAATTTTCCTCAAAGATTTTGTAAATTTAAATATGTAGAAGTTAAAAAAGATTTTTAACAATTAAATAAATAAAAAAATATTTGAATAATTTTATGTTTCGTTTCTTACAATATCTATACAGAGTGTGAATGTATATATTTATTGAATCAATAAATTATTAACTATAGAATTAAGAAATAGCCAACACTTTTTTCTTAACCCTTTTGATTTTCTAGATTCAAATTGTTGATAAGTTAAAAAGATTTTTGAAAGTAAATTTTATTACATAAAATTTGGAAATTTTTTATTTGTTTTTATATTATCCATACAGATTATGAATGCATATATTTATGGAATTAATAAACTATGAAATGCAGAATTGAGAAACGGTCAATTTTTCTCCCTTAAGCTTATAGATTTTATTGACTCAAATTTGCGTAAATTAAAAAGTTTTTTAAAAATAAATTAATTAAAATAAAATTAATAATTAAAATATTAAATAATATTTGGAATGTTTTTATATTTCATTTTTTACACTATCCATACAGATTGTGAATTTAAATATTCATAGAATGAATAAACTATTAAATAAAGAATTGAGAAAAATTCAATATTTTTCCCCTTAAGAATGTAGATTTTGTAAACCTAAAAAAGATTTTTAAATATAAAATTCTTTAAGTATTAAATAATATCTGGAATCCGATTTTTTCCTGCATTATCCATACAGATTGTAGATTTATATATTTATTGAATTAATAAGCTATAAAATGTAGAATTGAGAAGTAGCGAATGAGTAATAATTCTAAAATATATATATTTTGGATGAAAAAGCTTATTTATTACATGCTGTTTTATGCTAGGGAACAGGAATAGTCATGAAATTAATTTTCTTATTTTCTGAAATTAGTATTTTACCTAAAATATTTGTTCAAGAAATTAGAAACCGTGTAAAACACAAAAATGCAATACAGTCAACATTTGCAAACTCTAATCCCTCAAATCATTATGGTTCGAAAAACGAATTTTTCTGAGAGTTTTTCTTAAAATCATTTCATCTCCTTACAATCCATTTTACTCCGTCTTTAAAATCATAGATATATCTTAAAGAAAGTTTGGAGGCAAAAGTTTTAAAAGTTTACAGGGCAAAATGTGCGTTCGCCACCGGCCAAAGGGAAATTAATTATAGAAAATGACGATTAAAAATTTGTTTGTTAAACCCCATTTATTTGACACTTAATTCGCAGAAGATCCAAAATGTTTGTACTGCAAAAATTCTGGATCAAATTACGGTATTAAGTACCGGAAATTTGTGTACATCACCAGTAAAATACATTATTACCGTAAGATATACGTAATTTTTACAGTAATATTTATTTAGAGTGATTCGGTGATTTTAAAAATGAGGTTATATCAAATTTCTTTGTTCGTACTGATCCGGTGCTTTGATTGGAAATTTTTTCGTAATTTGGTTCGGAATCTTTTACAGTGTATTAAGTAACATGAGTAAGATTAAAAGAAATATTATCGAAATAATAAAACAAATCACATCAAAAAAGTAATTTGAATTAACTTATACGAACAAAATAATATTAAAGAAGCATCATATATTTTCGTAGATTGATAGAATCAATGTATAATTACTCTAAACTTTATGAGCAGCATTCTTAAAATAAGACATAGGGCGAGTTCAGTTGCATATTTAGTCTATTTACTGTTTACCCGTGACTGACTTTTTATTTTTTTTAAAATTTTATTTTAACGTGGCATTTTAAGAACACTCAGAGACTAACAATTGAATTCATGAAGTGAAGACACTATTGTACCACTTTCTCAAAACTACAACGTGACTTTTAATCCTTTTATCGCTGCATTTTAAAATTGAAGATAATTTCAAAAATATTCATAGACTAACAATTGAATTAATGAATTGACGAGACTCTTGCGCCTCTCTTTCAAAATTACAACGTGGTTTTTAATCCTTTTTTAACGGCATTTTAAAATTATAAAGAATTTCAAAAACGTTTTTGGGAAAACGATAGAATTTATGAATAATACTTTTCCGAATCTTGTGGTAAATTCTCAAAATTAGTTTTATTTCAAGAATATAATCTAAAACATTGTATTTAAATACTTGTATACAGTAGATGTATAATACGACAATTTACAGTAATAGATAGAATTGTCGTTTTCCTATAGTTACAGGTAAATATACATATTTAATGATAAAATAGCAATAAAAAGACTAAAAGTTAAAACATTGAGAAAATATGGAAAGTAATAAAATTCAAAACTCAGTAATCTTCTTCGTTTTTCTCTCTTTTANTTTTATATTAAAAAAAACTGATATGTAAGATTATATTTTAATGCTTATGAAGCGAATTCTCAAATGTCGCTTTTATTCACAAGTGTTTCCATTATTTTGATAACCACCTGTATATATATATATATATATATATATATATTCGATTAAAATTTGCAACAATTATTTTAATCAGTAATGAAACTCAAAATATAAGATTAGAAGTCTTTTAATTTTCCTTTCAGGAAAAGTATTTTGTCGTTGATTTCTGTTAGAAACTCGTCGTGCTGTGAGTTTTTGAACTATCTGAACGCTGTTTTTTACTTGCTAGAACTTAAAATGTTACCTTGCTTATGTGCTACTCTAAATTACGATTTATTAAAATTTTAAAAACGTAACTAAATAATTTTCAAGATGTCATTTTCATGAAAACTAAGATTTTCCGGGAATATATAGAATTTAGTGAGGTATAATTTGCCCTCCATGTCCCTAATCAAACGATAGCTGAAAATAACGATAGCGGCTCGTTTACTGTAAAATTTGATCCAATAGTAATCTAATAAATGAAGAACTTCTTTACCTTAAACATATCACTTTCCATCTAAGATAATTGAATCCCTGAATAGGAAGTTTATGACGCAATCCTATAAATTCGAAAATTATGTTCGAATTCGAACATAAATAATTTGATTGTTTTACCTTATTTTCCAAGATTCTGTCCTCAAACAACTAAGATTTTGAGTAAATTTGAGGTTTAAGTCATTTTTTTTCTCGTGTAAACAAGCAAAATTTCATCAACCTTGAAAACCACATTACTGATTTAAAAGATGGATAATATTTAAAGATACATTTTTATATTTATATTTTATAAGCATCGTTGAACTCAATTTGGGATTTACGACTACTAATGATTACAAACTCCGTAGCCTTGTAATTTTGAACCCAATACAGAAGACAAGGGAACTCCTAAATCAAGTATTGGCTGAAATTCGCCTTCGTGAAGGACTTTTTAATGAAATAAACCCGCATTCGCTTTGCATAGCGAGAAAACAACGAAAACCTCCCATGGTCAGTCTGAAGGCAAGGGAATTATGATCTGTTTACCTCTGAGGATACTTTATGTCAGCGCTGTGGTCAGTGAGATCCGGGTGCAGAATTTGCATCGACCAGCCATCGCTGGGATTCGAACCCGGAACACCTCATTGAGAGGCGAACGCTCTATCTCCTGAATCACCTCGGCTCTGGTTTTGGGTAAATGGGACAAACTAATTGTACCCTTAATTTTTGACTTAAAACACGTGAAAGATATTTAACATGTCCTTATAATAATGAAAGATATTATAGAAAGACTCCTTAACAGAATATTTAACGATCTTCCATCCCCCTACCTAGTAAGAATTCTAATAATAAGTTATTAGTTTTCTTCTGTTATTACCATGCATCACAACTTTTCAACTACTGATCTTGATTTCTGGGAATCATTTCATGCTTTGAAAATATCTAATTACTTAGTTAATGATCCATCTAGTTCCCATTCATTCCTTATGTTTAAAATTATATTTTAATTTACCTTTTTCTTCTCGCACACCTGAGGATATAAATTACTTCCTCATTCATTTTTATGTCAATATTTGTGCTTTACTCAAGTCGTTTCTCTGTATTCAGATCAGTTTTAATATAAAATTTGTGAGTAGAGTTATAAAATGCATAAGCATTTGAGTGATAAAAATATTAGATTCCATATAATACAAAAATGAGTTATTTAACTTATTAGCGTTTTTTGATTTTCAGTTCATTTATTTTTCTTCTTATTAAAGAAAAAGAAAAATTCAAATCAAGCAAATGTGATTCCTTCATTTCAAAATTTTCTTAGCTTTCAAAAAATACAATAGGATATAATTTCATATAATTAATAAAAAGTATTTTATTTTTATATATAATGAACTAACCATGCAACTATTTCCATTTGCAGTCGAATGTAAATATTTTACATGATCATCATTAACATCACTCATAAAAGCAGTTCTTATAATATTCTTTCAAAATATTTTTAATAAATTTTAAATTTTCTTGTGAGAGGAAAAGGATTAATTATAGAATAGAAATAAATCAATTCTATTTATCCCAAAATGATACACAAATGGATAATTTTGCGATAATAATGGATAATTTTGCGATTCCATTTAATGATACAAAAGGATAATTTTGCGAAATTTTGAACTTAAGTTCGTTTGTCTTCTTAATTTGAACGTTCTGAAATAAAATGTTAGTTTCAAAACTAGTTTTAAATTTGTATATAAAATTCACTAAGTATCTTACAGATATTGTTTGTTATAAATTATAAATATCGTATATAATATACAATAATTATAATATGTAATTTTAGTTTAAAAGGAAATGTTATATCAAAATTATAGTTTGCAAATCAAACGATATAAGTTAATCAACTTATTTCGTTATTTCGAAAAGGAAGATGATTAATTTAAATGAAGGATAATGAAAAATTTTATATATAAATTATATTACCTGATTGCTTTGCCTTATAGAAGATATATTTTGTCTTTCTTGTTTGCTAAATTAATTAATTGGATCAAAATGATTGTTTGCGATACATTTGTAAAAACAAAATTCGCTGTTTTTGAAATAAATTTGGAGCATCAAAACTAGTGGTTGCCAAACACAGGATATTAATTTATATATTTCTTAAAAAAAATCCAATAAATATTAACCTGATACTATCTTAAATTTTTTAATGTAATTTGTA